TTATTCTCTTCCCAACATGAGACTCCTTCCTTCTTCCAACTCTTGTAGGAAATTAGGTGCCCACGCCTTAGCTCAAATACGTCTCTTTTGCCCTCCAATCATCACATAATTCAAAATTTCGAGATATCCTACAAAATCAATTAAAACCAATAATTAAGCTCAAACAAACACCGAAAAAGTATGGAGAACACGACAATTAACATGTCAATAATACGACTTATCACAGAGCCGGCCGAGAGGGAGATCACCAGGGAGGAATTCGCCCAAGAGGAACGAGCAGAGGAGGGCGTCTCCTCGAAGAGGAGGTAGGGATGCGAAATGGGAGAGAAGAGATGAATGGCAGAGGAGGCCGATGGTGTTCGAGAGGCAGAGGTACCACAACTTTACGCCTTTGAGGAAAGATATGGCAGAAGTGCTCGAGGCTATGGAGCAGAAGATGTCGACTGAGGATGTGACTTGGCCAAAGACAAGGTTCACCGGTCCGCTTCGACCCATGTCGGATTTGTATTGTCGATTTCACAAGGATTACGGCCACACCACGGAGAACTGTCGGCATTTGAAAGATGAGATCGAGAGGCTGATTCGAGCAGGATATTTGAAAGAATTTGTGTATCATGATAGGGTGAAGGGGAAAGGAAGGAGAAGGTGTAGGGAAGACTCGGAGGAAAGGAGCGATAGAGATGAGGAGGGAGATGGTCGAGACGGTCGAGGAAAGAAGCCAAGGAGAGACGGTGATAAGGGGGGACATGGAGGAGAGACCCCGATGAAGAAAGGAACTATTTACATGATTTCCGGTGGACCAACTGATGGTGACTCGAATAGGGCCAGGAAGGAGCATGCTCGGGCAGTGAAGAGGAAAAGAGAGGAGGTAGGAATTACGGCTCGCATGCTGGTGATAAGTTTTAAGGCGGAGGATGCCGAAGGAGTGGTCCTGCCACACAATGATGCTTTGGTGATAACTGCGGAGGTCGCAGGCTTTGACGTGAAGAGGGTGTTTATTGATACTGGGAGTTCGGTAGATGTCATGTTCTATGATTGCTTCGTACAGATTAACAAGGAGCTGAACATGGAACTGAAGCCAGTAGCCACGACGCTCTATGGCTTTAATGGAGGAGAAGTTATGCCTATGGGAGAGGTCAGTTTGCCCGTGGCATTGGGATCGGGAGAGTTGAGGAAGGTGCGCATGGTGAGATTTGTGGTTGTAGGGGCTGAGTCGTCCTATAACATCATCATGGGGCGGACGAGCTTGAACGCATTCCAGGCGGTCGTATCCACGTACCACATGACGATCAAATATCCGGTGGGCGAAAACGTAGGGGAGATTGCAGGGGATCAGCTCACTTCGAGAAGTTGCTAACAAACGACGGTCAGCAATAACAAGCAATTGGCAAAGAGGCAGGCCGAGTCGAAGGGGGAGGAGATTAATCGACCCGGGGGATCGAGGTCGAAGGAGGATAAACAGAAAGTGGAGAAAGGAAAGGAGAAAATGGATATCCAACCTGGGGAAGAAGTTAAGGAGATTCAAATGATCGAAGGGTGTGAAGGGAGACAGTTCCGGATCGGAAAGGATCTGGAAGAGCCTATTCAGTCGAGGCTGATCCAGTTGGTCAGGGAAGTCGCTGATGTTTTTGCCTATACAACAGAGGAGTTAACGGGAATAAGTGCGGAGGTG